CCATCTCCTTTGGCATCCCCTCCTTTAACGAATTTGTCCCCTCCCACTTCCATCTCTGCTACTCCTGCCAGGGCTTGTAGCATTGGCTGAGCCATTTGAACTTCTAGAGCCATCTGGGTGCACAGAGCCTCACAAGATGGTCTATTTCCTGGTTCGCTCTCCATTCGCTGCCATTTCTGATGAAAAGTACGCAGGTGGCCTGGCATAGGATGCTATCTGTGCACACCACACAGTCAGCCATTGCACATAACCAAGGTATTATTCTCCTGAGGACAGCAGACAGCCAAGTCCTGGAAACTCCCTCAGAAGTCCCCGTACGGGTTGACTTGGAAAGAGAAAGAGCTAAGAGGAGAGTGCATGTGATGAATGGTTTATTGCATCAAGGAACCATTAGAGAAATAATTAGAAGATAAGAGAGAATGAAAAGAAAGAAATGTGGCAGCTCCCCTTGGCCCAGTCACTTCCTTTTGAATCCAAGAAGCTGCGAGACATGATTTAACATGACACATGAAGGCACCGGCATCACTTGGGCTTGCAGGCACAGTGTACTCCAGCGGCTTTATGTGCCATGATGCCTGTGGCACTTCTCGGAGCCCAGGCTGAATGGACATCAGCCAGAAGCCTTGCAGGCTGGCAGTCACCCTTCTGACCAGAACTATGCTGGATACATGGGTAGAGAGCTGAGAAGGCCTGTGTTTGCTGATCCCGCTCTTTTTGCACTTCTTATAAAGACGTACTTTCAAATAAATACCCTGGATCCAATGTTTTGTAGGTTGGTCTCTTTGGCTTTCCTCCTCTGTCTCCATGGGCAAAATAAAATGCAGAATCAAAGTGCAACTCCTAACAACCTGCTTTTGTTAACTACATTTTCTGGAAACATCTCAACTCTGAATTTCACAGGTCATGGGTAGAGGACTTCAAAGAGAACACTTTTGTGCCCCCTAAATCATGTCATTAAACATGATAAGCAGTTGCTGAATTTCTTCTACACTCAAAACCCTGTGCTTGGGCTCTGTGGGGTGCAACATGTAGCTTCATCTGGGAACTTCCTGTGTGGAAGGCAGACAGACACAATCCTAACTCTAAAGTCAAGCACACTGGGCCAAAGTACTAAAAAGGTTCAAACACAGATTGTGGGGTATAAAGAAGACACTGGTCTTTCATTTTGCTGGACTGTCTGTACTTTCTAGAACTGTGTCTTGTTCACCACATACATCAGCATCTTGCATTTGCTCTGTTCTACCTGGCCACAGAGGACACTTAGATAACCCTGCCATATGAATGCTGTGTGGAAAAACAGGTAGCTGGGTGTGGTGGGTAAGAGAATTCCAGAAAGGGAAAACAGCTTCTGCCAAGGCTTATAAGATTTGTCAAGGAATAGCAAATACCTAGTACAATTAGAGCTAGGAAAGAAGGGTAGAGGAAGGATAACCAGCATAGATAAATCTTGAATGGTGGTGAAGGTTCTGGAGAGTGAGGCAGGGAGGTGTTCTGCTTTCCAAATATGTCTTAGAAGAGGTGACAGTGGTGACATCATTCAGAATGCCATCTAGAAAGAACTTAGTTGGATCTTCCTGAATCTTCTTCCCCTCCTCCCTCCTCAGCAGTGAGCACAATGTTCCATGTGCCATAGGTATATATGAAGCCTGAAGATCTGAAGATACAGACTGTTTTCTGAAACTGCCTAAGTGAAGTCGTTGAAATCACTTAATGGAGGAAATGAAATGTTCTCATGCATATGCTTCATGATGGATTAAAAGATGGTGAGTTTAGGAGCCAAGAAACCTAATTTCAAATCTAGACCCTGTAACTTTCTGCCGTCACCTTGGACAAGATACTTTTCCTTGTTGAGTCCTGATTTCCTCAAGTATAATTCAGCAAAGAATCACTCCAGTCTCATCTGCCCATCATAAGGATGAAAGAAAACACAAAGATGGTGCCCAGCACAAAAGAGAAGGTGTGCAGTGTCCATGAGTTTTCCTTCCCTCTTTTTTGTGTCAAGCCTGCTTTCATGCTGCAATGCAATTAAAAGTTTATGATGTTCTAAAACTGATTTTCTGAATTAGGGGCAGTAAATTGTAAGTCACTGCTATTTTTCCCAGAAATGACATTCTTTAGATTGAGGGCTGGAGGTTACTTTTCAATCGCATTAAATTCTATTTATTGCAATTCTACTAAGACACAAGTGTATTTGGGAAGAAAGTACAATGGCTGATTCCAACTATTAAAGCTACCCATGGGAATAACAAGTCTGAGAACTTTGTCCGCACATTTCTCCCCAAGGACTCAGGGAGACCTTCATTAGCAAATGTGTCTGATACCTTTTCATATAATATCACTGTGCTCCCTCATTCCAATAGCTGTGTCCTTGTAGAATCTTCCACAGACAGCAAAACTGAGCACATTACGGTTGAACTATGATGGGGCATAAAGATGTGTAAGCTGCATTGTAACACACACGGAAACAGGGCTATTAGAAATCTAGAATATTCTAAAGGGAAATCTCCCACACAACACTGTCGGTATCACTCCTTCAGCTCAAGTGAAAGACCAGTGGGAACACCAACCCACAGGAAGGCACACTTAAACTCCCGAAGATGTGTTTTATTTTTCTTAATGAAAAAATAAAAATAATGCATGTGCTAGCTGACCAAAGCTGACAGAGATCTTCATGTGATGACCTCAACCTGGCCAAAGAGAGGTTGCGTGAATCCTTACACTGCTACCTGGACAGTTAGAAACATCTGGCTAGTTGATAATTCTATAAGAGAAATAGTAAATGTGACTTGAAGAGCTAAGTGGGTCTCTGTTGAAAACACAGCTGCTTACACCTTAGTGGGGATATAGTAGCAGTATGGCCATGAAAACTGACTTTTAAAAACCCACCTAAACCTTCCCATTATGTTTGTAGGCCTCCATCCTCCAGAACCTCTCTTCAGCACAGGAGAAAGCAGCAGAATGGCCACGTTCACGCTCTTCTCCCCAAGGACCATTCTCTGCCCACCTTGAGATGGCTCTGGAGCAGGTGAATCTCCTCCAAATGCCAGGAGTCTCCCCTGGTTGCCAAATTGAGGCTATTTCCAGGTGAAAGACCAATGGGCACACCAACCCATAGGAAGGCACACTCAAACTCCCGAAGATGTGTTTTATTCCAAAGTGTCTTCTCTTACCAAATTCACCTGCCAATAAAATGCTAAGGGAGCTCCACCCACAAGTGCTGAAAACAATGAGTGCCCTCTTCATTATGGGGCACATCAAGTCCAAGTTCATGTGAAACCACACATTCGGACACCACTCACAACCATACCCAGAATACAGAGTATGAGTGAGTGGGAACTCACCATTTTACCAGCATGGTCATCCACAGCTTTGAAGAGCACAGGGGCCACAGCTAAGAGTAACTGAGCTCCCTACAGAATTCTGGCTGGACTTCAGAGGGGACATCCCAGGTTTGAATTTAGAATGGGGCCGCCCTTTGCTGTTCCTATCATCTGGGTCAGTTTTGCCCTGAAGCAACAACTAGGATCTCTGAATTGTTGACTCACTCCAAAGCTGGACTTGAAACCCAGCCACACACCTGGGCTGGATGCTCCTCCTGCACAACCCAGAAAAGCAGACATGTGAGGAAGAGAGAGAGGCAGAGTGAGGGCTGCTGAGGGCCCACACAGTTTCCTGACCTGGCTGCCCCATCTCCTCCCTGATCCTGCATACCTCCAATTCTGGCTACCAGCTGCAGCTGCAGGCTTCACCTGGGACAAACTAGAGAGGAAAGAAGCAGGCTGGTGGGGATATTAGTTGACGGAAAGGTCCATTTTCTTTAGACTCTCTGGGAGAACCAAACCTAGGCTGGGTGCCTACAGGATGGGGAAGAGCCTGTGTAGGCACTGCCCTCCTGAGCCTCACCTGGGGCCAGGTGATGCTGCTGCTGGTCCCAGTCAGGCAATATGTCCCTCTGAAAACTATCATTCTGGGCAAAACCTTTTCTGTACTATACCTTTGTTACAGTGAGAAGCTTTCTGTTAAGTATAAAGGAAAGGTAGATAACCCCTAAGTATCCATTTAATTCAAGCTTGGGAAAGTCATTTGATTTTAAACAATAACTTTCTTTGCACAGCTCTCCTGAAGACCTTACCATCTGAAACCACCCAGGTACACCAAGTCCTCCTGCATCATCCTTCCTTGGATAGATCAGAGAGGGTGGCACCAGGGATCCACCACTGCCATTCAATCTTGTGGGCACAAGAGGGAAGGAAACAGGATTTTGAAGCAACCCAACTGTTCACCCTGCCATGCAGGAGGAAGAGAATGAGAAAGAAGCCCCACAGAAAAGGCAAGAAATATACAGGTTACTGGGTGACATACAGGTTACAGGTGACATAGGCTTGGGTGCCTTCCCATGGGTGGCAAGAGGAGAGGCTGTGGCCTGTCATCTCCTGGGCCTGCTGTACTTCCTGGGAAACTAGCGTGGTGAGGTGGTGAGGTTTGCTTCACATGTTGTCTTCCTAGGATGGTATGTCCTTCCAAGGTCAGGTGCAGGGCAGTAGGAAGCACCATAGGCAAAGGGCAGCTCCATCTAGGTTCTGCCCATAGTGTGGAGGCCCTGGGAGAGCAGAGGGGCCTCCCTGGCTACCCACTTCAGCTGCCACAGGCAAGGCTGGGAAGCTACAGTCACAAATAGGAAATGAGTGTGGAGCAGGCGAATGCAGAGGAAAGAAAACTCTGACGGGTTGTACAAAAGTCCTTATTTGGGGGAAAAGGTGGAAACAAAAGAAAGAGCACATTGAATGGTGTTTGTGCAGGATCACGGCTGACTGGTTGATGTCCACAGACTTAGGGACCTTGACTGCAACGACAGGGAGCAGTGGAGTGGACAGTGTCTCCGTGAAGAGCAGATGTGGGGCATTCTGTGGTGGCCAGATGACTTTCACTGTAGGAGGTGCTCTTTCCAGAGAGGGTGACAGGCTTCAGAGGGGAAAAGCTCCAAATCTTCTCCCCTCAGAGCAGAAACAGCTCCAGGTGGTGCAGCTTGGTTGGCGGTGGGAGGTTTCTGGACATCCACCTGCTTAGGCGACACAGCATCCTGCAGGTGTGTGGACAGAGCATGTGGAAGTCTCTCCTTTTTTGATGAGAGCAAAAGAAATGCTTAGGAGACATTTTCTAAAAGTAGGAAGGGGTGGATACCTCACCATTTTGTTGAGAAACCAGCAAAATTTAAGAACCGCCAAACTGCAGAGCAACTGACTTGAGTTATGTGGTTCAGTGGAAGGAACTGAGGTCAAAGTCAAGTTAGTGTTGAATCATGATACACATGGGGGCGGGGGGCAGGTGTGAGTTTGGGAACACTGTCAACTGCCCTAGGTCTCATTGTCCTTTTTTTTTTTTTGTGGCAAGGTGCCTGGACATTGGCTCCCCAACTTTGCCTCCTTGGAACTGACAGCTTTAAAATCCTGAGGTCTGCTGGGCACCATGGTGCACACCTGTAATCCCAGCAGCTCCGGAGACTGAGGCAGGAGGAACAAGAGTTCAAAGCCAGCCTCAGCAATTTAGTGAGGCCCTGGGCAACTCAGTGAGACCTTGTCTCTAAAGTAAAATACAAAAAAGGACTGGTAGTGTGGCTCAGTAGTTCAGTGCCCCTAAATTCAATCCTCAGTACCAAAAAAAAAAAAAAAAAATCTGGGGTTTTTCTTCCACTCCCTGTCATTCTGATTTTGTTGCTCTGGTGTGTGACCTGGGGTATCAAGATTTTAAAGTCTCTTGGGTGTTATCTAATGTGCAGCAGAGTTTGGGAGCCATTATCCTGGAAAAGTCTTAAGTGTTCAATATATGCTTGTTTTCTAGGACTCACTACATAAATGAGAATACTAGGCCTCAGGTCCAAAAGTTTCAGACTTTCAAGATGATAACAGCAGAGCATTAGAAACAAGCTCTGTTCCATTCTGAGCACAGGCCTTGTGAGACCACATGCCGTGGTTCAAGAATTCATGATGCCAGTCCCAGTTTTCTCTCTTCCTCTCATTTATTTTTTTTCTTTTTAAGGAACATTGTAAAATGTTATATTTTTTTATTAGTTGCTTATGACGATACAATGATCTTGACATATCATACATTTGAATCAAATGGGGTATAATGTCTCGTTTTTCCAAGTGTACAGGTTGCAGAATCACATTGGTTATACGGTCACGTATACACATACAGCAATACTAGTGTCTATTTTATTCTGCTGCCCTTCCTAGCCCCCCTTCCCCTCCCCTCCCCTCCCATCGATCGTTGCCTCAAATTATAAAACAAAAATCCAATGATGGACAAGAGGAACTGGAAACTAGGCAATCCAAGGTAGCACTGGTGCTCACCTCTGGGTTTCTGGCAACTGTTCCTCCAGGAGCTGGGGTCCTCTACAGAGGAAACCACATGAGGTTGAGGCTGTAGGGCTGGAAGCCAAGAGGACTCCCTCAGCCTCAGTTCAGAACACACCCCTGGACCCTGCCCAGACCAGCTCCTGCACAGTCACACATGGGAACCTTTGGTACAGCCTAGCTCCAGGACAGGGATTTGCAGCAGGAAAAGTGTTACCACTGGGTGATGGTTCCAGGTCTCCCAGGAAAGATCTTCCAGCTATGAAAATTAATTTTGCATCCCACTCATTTTAAGTTCCAGGTGAAAATGATGGTCTTTAAGTCCACCCCGTTGGCCCAGTTAGCAAGCCCTGGGGTGGCATCATCATTTCAAGGGAAGTGTGGGCATGGATGATGGTAATTTTTCCCTCTTCGACATCACCAGTGGGGCCCTCGGACTCTTGATCCTTTGAGGTTGCTACGCTAGAACAGAGAGGAGGTCAGGTGAGAGGGGAGCGAGGGAGAAAGGACGGCTGGTATGTATCTCTGAGTGCCTCTTAGGAAAACGGCCTGGGATCCTGGGGCTGCTGCCTCCCCCGCCCCAAGTTGCAGTGATTTAGTGAAGAGACCCTGAAGCAACAAGTCATACATAGGCTCTGCAAAATCATCGGAAATGGGATGATCTTGCACAGAATTTACAACTGTCTGGTCCCACCCCACTGTCTGTACTTGGTCCTCAGACAAGTTCACACAAAGGGCTCAGTGACTTCAGCTCCATAAACTGAAACCCAGAGCGTCAGGACCTGGGCTCAGGGAAGGCTTGAGCCTGACCCTAGGCTGTCAGCTGTGGAGATAGAGGAAACCATGTGGGAAGAATTTGCTTAAAAAACAAATCAGGGACAATTAAAATTCTGGAGATTTTTTTTTTTTCCTAGTTTCAAAATGGGAAGAATGAAGTGCTGGGCTCTGAGCAAAACATAGGCATGTTATCCACCCCTGGGGCCCTCAGCTTGGACTCCGTGGGAATTGCCCCGCTGGGAATCCAGCCTTTACCTCTAGTCCAGACATCTTTGGTATCTGGAAGAGAATAAAGCAAACCTTCACCCTGACCCTGTCCTAACCCAGCCCTCTACCCAGCCCTCTTCCCAGCCTTCACTAGCTCAGTGGGGTCCTTAGTTTTTCGAAGGGTCAGGCTCTGTCTTTGTAAAGTGGAGAAAATAAGAAGGTCCTTACTTGAATTAAATGAGATAATGTGCTTTTACCAGTGCTTCCTGTGACCCCAGGCAGGAGCTCAATGTTAGCCCTTTAGGTGTATATATCTCTTTAGGTGTCTTTATGTGTCATCTTTAGCCACCCTATGAGGCGAGAACTGTTTTACTTTCTACTTGAAAATAATAAAATTATGACTTAAGAGAGATTACATTCCTTCAGTCAGAGGAAGGAAGCTCCAAGACCAAATCCAGGTCTCTGTGAACCTAGGAAGGACTTTGCCCAGTGCCTCTACCTGCATGATGACCCCAGCTATGATTCACACCTGGGCTCACCCCACCCACCTACTTCCAAAGTGGTGTGTAAAAGACTTGAAGAACCAAGGAATCTACAAGGCCAGGGGGAAAGAAAAAGATGGAATCGAAAGGAAAAAGATATCTCAAGTGGATCATCCCACTCATTGGAAAACCAACAAAACAAAAAAGATAACTTTGCTCTTAAACCAGGGAGATGAAAGCCGTAGAGATAGGATGGCCATGGGGACAGCCAGTCCCAGCAGGCAACGCAGATGGGCACCGTTCTCCCAGGCCAGGATGACTGGCACAGCCCCTCGAGCTCCCGCAGAGGCAGGCCCAGATGCTAGCCTCAGTCCAGGGGCAGAAAGGGCCTGGGGAGAAAGGCCCTCGGCAGGATTCCTGCTGAGCTCTGTGGCGGGACCAGACGGCACTTGCAACTCCACACGCCTGGCCCTCAGCTCATCGCCAGCAGCCAGGATGGCGGCCACTGCAGAGGGGGCCAGCCGCAGCACAGTGGCTCAAAGAATGATGGAGTAGCCTTTAATTGTTTGTACTCTGAAACCCGGGAAGTGTTGGCAGCCAAATGAGACTAGAGAGGCTGCTGGCAGCACACGGACGGCTGGAGCGGACGCTTCCAGCCACCTAAACGGTTAAGTGGCCGGTTTGCCAAGGCCACTGAGCAAAGTGTTACCTCACCACGGGGCAGATTAAAATATGCGTTTTCTCCTAATTGAGCAGAGTGAAATCAGCTGGCGGTCCTGTCACAAGTGCAGGAATAAATTGTCACAGCACGAAACACAGTGCTCTACAGAGCATCTATTATATAGGGGAAAAGAGCCACATAAACTTCCTTCTGTTGGAATTTCAACTAATTTGTTGTCCAGGGTGCTAGGATATGGCAGCTTGGAGGAAACAATGAAACAGTCCCCTGTCCATCCCGGTTTTCTAGAATGGCAGTAGGTTATCCAAGCACAGCATTTTGTGCCTGCAGTGTACAGCCTGGTGTGTGAACTGGCAGGAGAATTTAAAAGCTTTTGAATGTGATTAACCTTTGTTTTTGTAAACAAATGACTTAAGCTCACTGTGGTTGCAGGGCCAATGTATATGAGGCACTCCTACCTTTGCCACTGCCTTCCTTTCTAAAATCATGTGTTTTTAGAAGAAAATGGAAAACCGCATGACAGAAATAAGCAGGCCCTATTCAAGACTCTGGTGTAGGGCTAGACTGAGCTGTGAAGGGCAGAGGCCAAGGTGAAAGATTTTCTTTCTCCTTCCCAAATCGCTGGGGCATGCAAACACTGACTTAGCCTGAAAGCTCCCAGGACAAGATAAGAAGCTCATTCCCACTCAGGCCCCCCGGCTGCGACGGCTGGATGGCATTCCTTATGAGACATACCTCATGCTAAGTTAACGTGCTCTGGAACAACCACACAGTCCTCGACATTTTTTTTTTTAAACATAACTATAACACTTTTTGGTGATTTCTA